GAAAATAAGTCAACCCTTTTACACAGAGCACATTGAGTGTGAATATGCAAATACTAGGACTACTTAACTCGGAAAGAAAATATTGTATTCTGCTAAAAAATACTCATCTTTTTAAATTTAATCGATTAGTTATTGTATAAGAATTATTTCAATTGACACACAACCAAGACTGAATCATGGACAGACCTAAAATTAATTTATTTGAGCTTTTTGTATTCAAGTCTATCAAATGTTTTCCTTGGTTACTCATTTTATGAGTGAAATAAAGCTGCTTGGTTAAACAGCTTTAGGGCTTCTCAACTCTTGCAACCATTTGACTGCAGCCTACTGAGAAACATGGCTCTTTCAGTGATGGTACTTTTAAATGTTGGCCTGTTTTTAGAGCAGCACTTCTAGAGCCAAATATGTATTTCTTCTGAGTTATAACATTTAAGCTCACACGGCCACAGGCATCACTTGGACTGGTTGAAATCCAAACTAAATTCTCACACACTCCGTGGAGAAACTGAAACTAATCTGCTGCAGCAGACAAATTTTAATTGCTAAAAATATTATCTTCCAATGCAGCTTTCAAATATGTAGATGGTTCTGTTTTTTGTCTACTGTATCTTTGTGGAGAGTCCTCTCTTCCTTTCTGATGTGCAATGTCGTCTCTGTGACTGATTCCTGCTGAACATTCACTCTGTTCCACTTTGTGCACAGAGGCTTCTCTGGCTGAGAAAAAAAAAAATCTTAAAACCATAGAAAAAAAAGTAAATGCGATTGGGAACCTCTTTTTTTCTCTTGGTTGTGGCGTGACACTAATTTACTTCCCCCTCACACTTCCAAAGCAATTAGCTTTGAAGATTCTCAGAAACTATTCTTGCACAAGTCGATAGCTGGCATGGCAAGTTAGAATTTAAGTTGGCCCATTGGGTGACAGCTGATAAACATATCGAATGAGGTTACAGTGAGAAGAAACCTAAAAGAAAAATAAAATTCACTTCTGTTATGCTGGGGTCCAACTAAGTAGCGTAAAAAGATTGTGTCTTAATGATCAGACATTGTCAATATCTTCAAATTACTGTCTAAAATGATGCTAAGCTTTAATATTTTATTTGTATGTAAAACACCTATGAAGAAGGTCTTCTGAGACATTTAGGGCAACCATTGTTTAGGAACCTCATGCATGGAGTAACTAGAATGAGAAAAAAAATCAATCAAGAATTGGGAAAATGAATAAATTGGCAGTGGATAGCTGATTGTTAGTGGCTTACCACCAAACTAATTTGATTAATCCCTCCTAACAGTACAAAAAAAAAAGAGGAGTTTATCAATTTATCTGTTTTAAACTCATCTTGTGCAATATATTGTAATTTAGCAATTGTCTCCATCTTACTCATAAAACATGGGTCAAAATCAACTTAAATATGTTTAATTACCATATCATAAAGCTTAGATACACACTAACCAGATTTTTTGCTGGAATCAGTCCAGTTGGACATTTACATAATGATTTTCTGGGTCTTGTTTTTCATGCTTCACAGAAAAGGAGTTCATGCTTCTTATTCTTTCGAAGTAGGCTGTGGTTTTGTCTGTCTTACACAATCACACAATGATGAACAAATGAGCCTTAATGTAGGGTTTCGTATCAGCTCTTATTAGTTTCAGACCCACTGACCTTCTGTTGGGTGGACGGCTGCACTGCCTCCTGAGCCACAGCTGCTCATGTAAAATATATCAAAGTTTCTCGGAAAAAATCGAGTCCTGTTTTTTAAGACGCTGCCAGGAATTGGCTGCAGCAACATGACTGTTTCATGTCCACATGAATAGATAGGAGACAGATGATAGGAGATATATGGATGTAGTTAGAGAGGACAGGGAAGGAGATGGAGTGAGGACAGAGGATGCAGAGGTCAGAGTGAGATGGAGGAGGAAGAATTGCTGTGGTGACCCCTGAAATGGAAAAGCTGAAAGAAGAAGAAGAGCCCATTTCTGATTGAACAGCTTGCAAACCTGCATTGTTGGCCATGCACACAATTTTATTGTTTGCCTCCACCCACATTACACGAACCTTGGCCTGCTTGTATCCTCCATGGTATCTTCCCCCACATTTGTTTTACTTGCTTCAAGTACAATTCTGGAATGAGTAGAGGCAGATATGTACCAGTTTAAGATGCTTGTACACACCCACAATGACTTTCTCACAATTGTTCCATGAACATTTGTCACACAAATTTTGTGACACACAACAATACACAGCAAGCCTCTGCAAACCATGCAAGAAAATTGAGATCCATCAATAATGTCCTTTTATAGGTTATCTATTGGCATGTGATCAGGTGATTAACTACTAACAAGCAGTTGAACTGGTGGACAGTTCAGTGGTGTAGTCTACGTGATACTCGGGGAGTATACCTACTAGAAAAGCTTAAGAATTTCAGTATACTCATGTAAAAGTGCCCAGCGATACATGGCATATCACTGGGCACGTGTCATTGATACATTAAATGGCAGTTAAACGCTTCCATAACAATCTATCGGTATGCAGCGCTTTGCTTTGATACTGTTTTTTTTATTTTATAACAAGTATTTAATACAAAGCCAACTGTTGTACAAAGTTTGTTGTTCATTTATTCAAATATAAGCATCAGAGAAATTTGGAAATGTTCAATATGCTTAAATATTGAAATAAAATGACCATTACATTGTATTAACCAGTGTACTTTGGTTTCTAAGCACAGTATACACACTACAAAAAGTAGATTACACCACTGGGTGGATTTAGTAAAAAGTCTGAGTGAACAGTTTCAAGTGTGAATGGATACATGTATTGAGTTAAAGGGGCAGCTGTGGCTGAGTGGTTAGAGCGGTCATCCTTCAATGCAAGAGTTGGGTGGTTCGATTCCACCAGCATTCACATGTCCAAGTGTCCCAGGGCAAGACACTGAACCCCTCATTGCCTCCAATGTGTGTCCCATCGGTGTACGAATGTGATAAAGCTCTGATTAGTCTTTGTATAGAAATAGTAGAGTGCTGTATGAATGGGTAAATGAGGACACAGGTTCTAGTGTAAAGCTCTTTGAGTATCTTGATAAGATAGAAATGCACTATATAAGTACAGTCCATTTACCGTATAAAGCTCTTTCAGGTTTTCCGCCATACTAAATGTAATTTGTCCAAACCAAACGTATCTGGCTAATAAATGTACGGTGTTTATGTTCTCATAGCAACCTTCTTTCGAAAAAAATCACCTTCCTAGAATAGTGTCCCTGAGGATTTGTCATTGCAGTGAAAGGTTTGTATTAACCACAGTGACCCTCAGCGTAATGATTTAAAAAGCATTGTTTTCTGGAAGGACACAAGTTGCTAAATAGACCAGAGGAGCGATTCATCATGGGGACTCACGCTCACCGAGGATGTTTTGACACATCTGTTTGCATTTGGTTCACTTAACTGTGCCATCTTTTTTTTCTAAATGTGTGTTACACAGAGAAAAAAGAGCTGATGTGAATGCTCCGTCTGGTTTATGAGAGGGAAATTAACTCTAATTAGACTAAAATCGTATTTCATAAACGCAATGCTTTCAAAACAAAATGTGAGCCTATTTTAGGACTCCGTACCAGATTTTCTAAGGTATAGGCATATATTTGCACAAATGAAAGACACAGATCTCTTGGTGTAGCCACCTCGTACTCAAATTAGACATACACATATTTAAAACATTTATTGCAGTAGCGTTATACCTGTAGAGTAGTAACAAGGATTAACTGTTTCAGTATGTGATGTCAAACACCCTCACAACTAACAAACATACTGCGGTAAGCATTTCACTCCATCCCACTAAACATTTTTATATTGTGACATAAACATGAAAGTGCTTTACAAACCCAACTAAGTCCTTATGAGCAACTTAACTACTAAATCCTCCACCATTTCATTTCGAAAAGAGAAAAAAAAAACAGAAAATAGAACAAAAATGATCAAGTTCAGTGTATAAGCTAGAACTTTTAGCATGCTAATCCACTGTGTGTTTGCCTTCCATGCTTTAAAACCAATAAAACCAATCTACTAGGACAGTGTAATGACAGATGATCTTTCATGGCTGACCGATAGTCTATACATGCCTTTTGTGTTTTTTGTCCTCAGAATCGACAACTTGAGTTTGCACTTTTGTCTCTGCCACAAATGTCTCAAAATCTGGCAGACATTCAATGCGTAAGGCATTTGATAATATTTATAACCGACATGTTCTTGTCAAATAAGCACATTTCAGTGATTTTGAAGAAAGATCATGAAGGCACCGTGATTAAAGTGTTATCTTAACTTGTGGTTTCCTATCTATGGAAAATAATAGTCTGTGGAAAAATTACATATACAGTATATATGTATATGTATATACATATACCAAGAAATTGCAAGTACTACTGAGAAATTGCACTCAGTTAAATCACAATTTGAGTAAAATCTATACAGTAATAACCTTAGATAAAACATTAAGCCATTTACAAATATATTGCTATTCAATTGTACTAAACACTTTCAAAATCAGTTTATAGAGAAGAGCCTTCGGAGCTTTTCATTTTGATAATGCACCTTTTGAGCACTGACATCCTTGTTACAGTTTTTTTTAAGTTGTTTCTTTGATTTTTTTTTTTTAACAAAAAAAAAGTTTGCTTTTTGTGATTTTGGAGTACTTGAAGTAAATTATAATGAAAGAAGGGCAACAATTAATAAAATATTAACCTTAGCTTTTTTTATAATTACGTAGATAAATGCTTTCTTGGTGTACAATATGCCACATTACACATCATTTTCCAGTTGAAATCCCAACAACAAGCCATCATGATGACAACAGCCACAAACTGTTCTACTCACTGTGGAAATTACAGATACATGATTATGGTTAATAAGTCTTATTTACAAACACAGAGATGATGACAGAATTAACAAGTGTCTACAAACAGTGTTATCAGAACACCACTTTCTGAAATGTAATTAAATGTTCTTTGATTGTGTTGATTAATATAGTCCTGGACAACAATCACACCACATATATTTGAATATATTGGTCAGTCTTTTTTTTTTTTTTTTTTTTTTTTGATGCAAGTCCTTCCTCCACGTGTTCAATTCACACATGAAGTGCACAGGAAATGTTATTTAACATTGATTAAATCCATGATTTTTCCCGTAGAGCAACAGAGACGTTTTCTTGAGGAGAACAAAGCATCAGTACTTTTTTTTTTCTTGCCTACACAGTACATGTGGCTTTTACACTGCAGAGGCATCAAATTCAGAGGAAAAAGATGAAATGAGAAATAAACCGATGAATCAGGAGCTCAGGTGAAATGCACCACCTGTGTACTCTGTCCAGATATGAGGGTTCCTAACTGCACAAAGGTCCATCTTATAGCTGCTGGTCCTTCGGGCTGTCTGGACAGGAGGCTGACTGGCAGGACTTCAGACTCACCAAAGGAATATCTGCAATGCCACTGCTGCTGAAGTGTCCCTCTCCGCTCCCAAACTGCTTCCTGTCACCAAAATGCTCCAAACGTCCGCTCTCATTTTTCCAGGTTCTAGAAAGAGTGTGTCCATTGAGGAGTTTGTCCTTTGGACCCCACTCCCTCTGAGACCCAAAGCTGGACACAGGTGACTTAGGGTGCTGGTACGTTCCTAACGTTGGAGGCATCCAACAGTTGTCTGAATGTCCCAGGACGAGGCACTCCTGCGTGCACATCTCTGTGGCTTCCACCAGGCCACGTGGTCCCAGGAGGCCATCTGAAACAGAACAATAAAGAAACAAAACCAAGATTTATTGAGATTGGAAAACATATGATAGAGCTGACTTGTAATACCTCCCACAGTTAGTTTAGTCTGACAGAATGGCCACGGACTGGATACAAACAGAGAGCAGGTCGATAATATAAAGTAGGTACTTTGTACAGATCATAAGTTCAACACAAAAATGTGAATAACATTTTTATATTTGTTTCCTCATCGTTGGTATTTTAATTTTCTCTGTAGTATTTGAAAACAAAAATGTTTTATGAGGAAGGTAAAAGAAAAATAAGTTCTTTATGGAATTTCTCCCATCTTTAACCCAAACAATGCCCATGCCTGTGCGCTGCCCAAAAGGTGGACTACTGAGATGTGTAACTAAGAAGTATTTGACAATATTATTTGTAAAACAAAAAGGCTGATAGGCAGCAAAACACTACCAAAGCCAAAACCAGAGTACAAAAGGTAGTAGAGCAGGGATGAAAACTGAGTAACAGAAACATCAAGTATTTCTAAATTAACTGGATTACAATAATAAAACACATATTATAAACACAATGTTCCAGTATCATGACCCAATGTGTATGTTTGAGATCTTAGCATTAACCACTGGGGCAACAACAACTTTTAGAATCAGTCTAATTCAAGATGGTGGCCATAGCCTATCGACCCCACCCAACACAAAAATGACAACATTACCTATTTAGAGACATTGAGCTAAACATTGATGTAATATCTGTGAGACATTTGTGCATAAATCAAATGTTAAACAATTGTGTGAGAGCTTGCTGGATCTTTCTCAATAGAATATCCATAAGAATATTTTCAATATTTTCCTGAAATTACTAGCATTTCTCATAATAAGGTGAGCCTATGGCATGAAAGGCAGTGGGCAATATGTCCTCATTTAAGGAATTCTATCTTTGACTTTTTAGAAACAACTGGATACTTATAAACATAAACAGTTAAAAAATACTTTTCATTGAGATGTTTTTCTTGACTATAGTACTTTGGCCATACAAGCAATTCTGACATAAAAAGGTTAAACCTAAATGGAAAGTCGGTCATTCTTCTCCCTGAACATAAACTCAATCACGGTAATGAACTCTCAAAACTGGCACATGGAGTCTAACACTAATCATAGCTGCATAAAGCACTACAAAGAGCAATAATGCCTGATGCCCAGGAGACAGCCAGATAAATTCCTCAGAAGAAGATGACCGAGTAGACATATCGGGGGAGCTGTTAAGAAAGGGAGATAATAGAGAAAGGAAAGGCTGCATTCGTGTGCAGTACAGAGAATGGGAACAAGTTACAGACCTGCCATTTATGTGACATTTTGCTTTTTGTATTGCTAGATAAATGGCTAAATTGAAAGCATGCCTTTCATGATGTCACTGATGGCATTTCTCCAAAATTTTAATCTAAAAATACTCTAAAAATAACAAGGTGGTTTCTACATTAGTGTGTATGCACAATCACAGTTTGCGTATTAATTATCAAATTACCAAGACTTTTATGTCTATATTATACCTTGCTCTTACAAAAGCAAGCGCGTGATTATCAAGGACACTTCTGCTGCACTATTTCCCCTGTGTAATAAACATGACCATTTGCTTGTAGACTGCTGTAATCAGTGGCCCCAGTGGGCAGCAGAAGATAATTTGAATCAGCCATTTTCTCTCATTATTCTCTTTGTGCCTTCTGTATGAGAAAAATTACAAACTAGAAGGGGTACACAGTCTATACATGACCAACAGAACTTGTATAGTGTCCCGCTCACACGCAATTGAGTAAAAAAAAAAAAAAAAACTATATAAAACAAGCTAAATAGGTTTTGAAAACAATGCCATGGAAGATAGGGGTGTAGAGGGTGCTGCAGCTCCCTGATGGAGTGAGGTAACGACTTCCATTCATATATATATATATATATATATATATATATATATATATATATATATATATATATAGCCAATATATGGTAGGTGAGGCCGCTAGTGGCCACCCCACTGCTTGTGCCTGTTAGAGCATCCAGCATAAAAACCATGGCCAAGTCTTCGAGTCAGTTAATTCACTGTGGTGACCTCCGAGGATGGTGGAAGACAGAAGAAGGAGAAAGAAAAAAAAATAGTTAAAGAACTTGCTAAAGGTTTCTTCCTCATGAAATATGTTTTTCCTTTCCACTGTTGCCTTCCTGCTTGCTCAAGATGAGAGTTTTGTGATGGAATTAAATTCAAAGTAGTCAGCTCCTCAGATAAATAGTCTTAAACTATTATTTTTATATATGAATGTTTCTGTTCAGTGCACTGAGATGACTTCTGTTGTGACTAAATAAACTGAATTGAATTGAATAGAATTTTTAAAAAGAGAATAAAACCATATTTTGTTGGTGCAGCACCAAGCTACATAGCTTGGTGCTGAATACAGTATTTTCGAATTTTGATAACTGTGTCATGATATATAAACATTTTTTGTATAAGAGCTAGAAACAGAAATAGGGATGCAGACCAGTGCTACATTATGATTGCAATTTGAAGCCCATGTGGAACACCCCCCCCCCCCCCCCAAAAAAAAAAAAAAAAATTCAAGGGACATCCTACTCCTTGGAGGAGCCATGGACAGATGATGATAAACCCAAACACATCATGACTCTGCAGCTGTAGACAAGAGGCTGTTGGGAATGAACTCCATTGTACTCCTACTTTAACATACCCATAAGTCTGAAGTGGATCCAGTTCAGCCCAGGTTTTCTTTTTTCTTTGTGACTTCATAACTTTTATGGACAGAATTTCTTGGTGCAGCCAGAGGGGTGGAGGGCTTCTGCTTCGGTGGCCTCAGGATTCCATCTCTGACCTTTGCAGATGATGTGGTCCTGCTGGCGTCATCGTGCCGGGATCTTAAGCTCTTACTGGAGCGGTTCGCAGCCAAGTGTGAAATGGCTTGAATGAAAGTTTGCATCTCCAAATCTTAGGCCATGGTCCTCAGTCAGAAAAAGGGTGGATTGCTCTCTTCAGGTCGAGGGTGCGGATTTGCCTCAAGTGGAGGAGTTCATCTCGGGGTTTTGTTCACGAGTGACGTGAGTGAGTGAACTTGTGATTCTCGACCTGCCATTGTTTATCCGTTCTTCTCAAACCCAGCCAATCGAAGAAGATGGCCGCTTGTCCTGAGCCTGGTTCTGCTAAAAGGTTACGTCCTCACGAGGGAGTTTTCCCTTTCCACTGTTGCCTTCATGCTTGCTCAAGACGAGAGTTCTGCGATGGAGTTAAATCCAACGCAGTCTGATCCTCAGATAAATAACGTTAACTTGTTTTTATATATGAATGTTTCTGTTCAGTGCCCTGAGACGACTTCTGTTGTGACTTGGCACTATATAAATTAATTGAATTGAATTGAATTGGAGCCTCATTTTTGTCGTTTTTTTCCATTTTTAAGAGATTTATTAAACTTTCTCAAGTAAATTATTAGACGTTGTGCTAATGCTATGGACAAACACATGCACACACACAGAGACAAGCAAAACACTATTTTTGATCAGTGACCACCTTTAAAAATAAAAATGTATCCCTGCCACAAAACCTGCACACAACGGCTTCTTCATTACTAACTGCTTGTTTGCGTGCTGTTTTTGCAAATAGCCTGTAGCTGGTGTTTGGTGCAGAGCTCCTGGGTGCTTTAAATAACATTAGGGCACAGGTGTTGAGGAATGCAGGAGATTCAGAAGTGTGTCAAACGGTGGCGGCTTTTGCTTACAGCACTGAACAAATAATGCAGATGTCCAGAAACACCTATGCCTCGAAGACAAAGATGCATCCAATTGTCCTCCTGATGCAGCGCCATTAGGACATGCTGGAGGCCAGTCTGTTTGAGTTCTGCTGAAGCTGTGGAAAAAATGTGAAGCAGGAGGAAAAGCTGTTTAATGATGGACACTTTAACCAAGCAGGATTCACGAGCCTCTTTCTCTGTCCTCCTACTCCACATCAACAGATCACAGAGGTTACAGAGGAGGAGAGATTCATGCTCGCTGCTGACCAGAGGTTGTTGGCAATTATAAGGGAGGATTCTCATTTTAGTCTTCCAGCTATTACTAATGAGATAACGCTGGGCTAATTAATTGGATGCACACTATCAGTGCTGATGTGCCACACCAACAGCAGCAGTCAGGATGGCAAGAGGGAATGGGTGGAGGGGGTGCGCGAGTGATTGAGTGTGGGGGATTTAGTGTCCGTTGGGCTTGTTTATTTATCCATGCTGTTAAGCATACCCAGATGTTGTTATTTGGGGATAAATGAGACTTTGTTTTGGTCTAGCATGAAGGCTTAAAGTTCTATCCCAGTGTCTCCAGCTGCTGCTCAAAACCCGCCCACATATCTCTGGCAAATTAATCTGGTAAGCCTTAAATCTACTGTAGGTATTCTTCGTGACCCTTTGATTCCCTCAGCAAAACATACAGTAATCTACAACTCATCAGTTTGTGTACAACATGACAAATAATGATATACAGTATTACAACTACAGCTGGTGTAAAGATCTGCCTCTCACTCGCAGCACACATAACATAAATAGCTTGGGGAAATGTATGGGAGCTGTATGGTAGTTGTTGTCCAACAAGCCATAGAATTACAACAACTCTATACAGCTTTGCAAAATACAGAAAGAAAATTCTGCAAACAGGCCCTGTGATCTACAGTAAAGGCTATCTGGGGTTGGATAGATATAATAGTGAGCGAAGCAGAACAGAGCATCACGCTGGATGCATCCTCCTGAGACTAGCAGGCTGGCTGATGGATCCTTTATAGAGCTCCCTTTGAGGCCATGCAGCAGCTTCTTATGAGAGGAGATGAAGAACAGGAGGGAGTCAAAATAGAAAATGAAGACAAAGCTCAAGTTTGAGAGTGAAAGATGTTTGAGAACAAGAGCAAGAATTAAGGGAAATAGACAAGAAGAAAAGGGAGTAAAGTGATGAGTGAGAACTCAAAGCTTGACAAAGGCTAACATTTAAA